ATACTTTATTGCGTTAGTCATTTAGTCACAGGATACAGATATCTTTATACTCGCATCTTGTGGTGTATTATGGTCGGTAAATTCGTACGAGTTTCATAAATGTCATACGGTCAGTTGGTGAGATATTAAAGGAAATTTGTTTTGTAGTTCGCAGTTACGCTTCTCCGGCAATGGGTTAAAGTTCAAGTAATGCCCGATTGCTCGAGGGCAAATCTCCTGCGTTGTTGACAAAATAAGCATATGTGAGAGCCCGAATTCCCAGTAATTCGACCAAACTTTGTACAATTATTATGATAATGTGAACTAAACATTATTTGAATTTCTAAATGTACTGGAAGAGCTTTCGTATGGATAGGCACAACGGGGTATTAATACCATCACATGAAATTCTCTATCGAGGAATATAATGTCTATTATTGTGGCATTATATTTTTATAGTGATGATGACAATCAACGAACTCCGAACACACGTTGAATTTATGGAGATGAGGGATGTGGTCTTTTCAACAATGAATTGACCTTATAATTTTGCCAAGCTTTCGATCTTTTATTTGATTTTCAACAGGGCTGTAGAACAATTATTTCACAAAATTAATTTAAAACGGGACGGATGAATATTTCATTTATAAATATAAATAAATAACTTTATTTATATACACACAGTTACAATGCGCAGTTTTATTCCAGCTGTGGTATAATTATTTTTTCTTTATCTTTCTGGTTCTTTTACCTCTTATCGCATTCATTTTATTAATATGTTGTTTTATTATTTGTTTAATAATGGTATTTTCTTTTGGAACTGTTCTATACCACTTGCGGTACTTTCCATTGCAATTATAATATAAATATGTTGTTTTACAATTTCTTCGTAATTGGCTGATATTTTCTTTTAAAATTGTTCTATTGGACTTGTGATACAATTATGTATTCTTTATTTTATTTTTTTTTGTTTTTATTACCTCTAATTGTATATTTTTTATAAATATGTTTTTTTATAAATTTTTATTACCGTCTCATATTTTCTTCTGAAACTGTTCTATTCGACTTGTGATACAATTATGTATTCTTTATTTTATTTTTTTTTTGTTTTTATTACCTCTCATTGTATATTTTTTATAAATGTTTTTTTAAAATAAATTTTTATAACCGTCTCATATTTTCTTTTGAAACTGTTCTATTCCACTTGAAGTACAATTATTGTTTCTTTATCTTTCTGTTTTGTTTTTATTACCACTTATCGTATTTATTGCACAAATATATTGTTTAATTATTTTGTTTATAATCGTCTCATAGTTTCTTTTCAAAATGTTCTATTCAACTTGTAGTACAATCATTTTTTTATATCTTTCCGTTTTTTTATTACCTTTGATAATATTAATTTTTTAAATATGTTGATGTATTTATTTTAATTTTTATGATAGTCTCAAATTTTCTTTTGAAAATAATCTACTTCATTTGTGGTATAATTTTCTTTTCGTCTCATATTTTCTTTAGAAACTGTACAATTCCACCTGTGGTAAAATTAGTGTTTTTTTATCTTTTCGTTTGGTTTTTATTACCTCTTATCGTATTTATTTTATAAATATGTTGTTTTATTATTTTTTTGTAATCGTCTCATATTTTCTTTTGAAATTGTTCTATTCCACTAGGGGTACAATTATTTTTTCTTTACCTTTCCGTTTTGTTTTTATTACCTCTTATCGTATTTATTTTACAAATATATTGTTTAATTATTTTGTTTATAATCGTCTCATAGTTTCTTTTCAAAATGTTCTATTCAACTTGTAGTACAATCATTTTTTTATATCTTTCCGTTTTTTTATTACCTTTGATAATATTAATTTTTTAAATATGTTGATGTATTTATTTTAATTTTTATGATAGTCTCAAATTTTCTTTTGAAAATAATCTACTTCACTTGTGGTATAATTTTTTTTCATCTCATAATTTCTTTAGAAACTACAATTCCACATGTGGTAAAATTAGTGTTTCTTTATCTTTTCGTTTTGTTTTTATTACCTCTTATCATATTTATTTTACAAATATGTTGTTAAATTTTTTTTTTATAATCGACACATATTTTCTTTTGAAACTGTTCTATTCCACTTGAAGTACAATTATTGTTTCTTTATCTTTCCGTTTGTTTTTTTTACTCTTATCGTATTTATTTTGCAAATTTGTCGTTTAATTTTTTTTTTCTAATCGACTCATATTTTCTTTTCAAAATGTTCTATTCAACTTGTAGTATATTTATTTTTCTCTATCTTTCTGATTTGTTTTTATTATCTTTTAGAGTATTTATTTGGTAAATATGTTGATTTAGTTATTTTAATTTTTATGATAGTCTTGTTTTTTCTTTTGAAAATATTCTATTCCACTTGTGGTATAATTATTTTTTCTTTATCTTTCAGCTTTGTTTTTATTACCTCTTATCGTATTTATTTAATAAATATTAATCCACATATTTTTAGCGGTTTTAATTGGCCATGTTAATTATATCAATCAATATTATTATTTTTATCTAAGAAGTCACGATACCTCAAGTGGTTAGAGCAGCGGTGTGTTGAGCCGAACTTCGTGGGTTCGAATCCCGCTCGTGACACTAACTTTTTCATCTCAACCAAGATATTACATAAAAATAATAATTAATTGAAACATTTAATAAATATTACAATTAATTAAGGTTTTTTAGTTGAGATAAAAAAGTCAATGGCACGAGCGGGATTCGAACCTACGATCTTCGGCTAGATACGCCGCTGCTCTACCACTTGAGATATCGTGACCTGGACCCACTCGGACACCAATTTCCCATCTCAACCCCACCTTTTGAATTTTCTCTCCTTTTTGGCCATTTTATCTCAACTAAAAAACCTTAATTAATTGTAATATATTGGTTAAGCGGACCACGAAATTAGTGCATTTAATGAATTAAAATGAAGTATACTTCACTAAAGCTCTCCATGGCCATTTCAATTATCGCCGAGAATCCAATCCATTACACGACATTTGAAAAATGCAAAAAAGGAAAGAAAATTCAAAAGGTGGGGTTGAGGTGGGAAGTTGGTTTCCGAGTGGATCGAAGTCACGATAGCTCAAGTGGTAGAGCAGCGCCGTATTTAGCCGAAGATCGTGGGTTCGAATCCCGCTCGTGCCATTGACTTTTTTATCTCAACTAAAAACCTTAATTAATTGTAATATATTAATTGGTCAAGCGGACCACGAAATTAGTGCATTTAAGAAATATATTGATCGCGTGTGGTTTAGTGGAAAGTTTGGCAGAGAAGACATTTAGGCTAATCGCGTCCCTGGTTTTCAGACTGCCTCTCCTAAATCATACCTTGTGGACAGGTCCAGGAAGGCACTAATTGGATTACTAAGGAGTTCCGATACACCTTCTATTTATAAACCAATTAATTTATTTATCCGACCAAATTTCCTGTTGAAAATAGTATGTAAAACAATTTCTAGTATGCAGATTCATTAATGTAAATCTGTAATGTTCCTTCAGATAGCCGTGCCATTCTAACAGGTATTTTATTTACTCCGGGGAGGGGGAGAGAGAACGTTTAAACAACAAACAAATGTTACCTTTTAAAAAGAAGAAAAAATACAGTGATGGGCGTGAAACCTAAAATTGAAAGAGTCAGACATTGTTAAAGTGATTGAGGGAGTGCTTAGATAGATAGATATTAAGAAAAAGAAAGACACATAAACATGGATACAGATATTTGATAAACATAAATAAGTGTGATGAAAGACACAGATAAACAGAGCATGGTGGTTTTAAATGTTTTGTTGGCAGAATTTTTAAAAATGTATGAAATGAAGACTTTGGCATTTTGAATTTTGAAAATTCGGAGTCCAACTTTTCAGGACAAAGAAGGTTTCTGAGTTAAGTTTAGGAATTCTCAATAAATTTTTCATAATAACTTAGTTAACTTCCCTGTAGTAAAACAATATAAAAAATTCAGCCTTCCTTTTATAGTACTAGTCATTAGATATTCGTGGAACTAAACTTTTATTTTCCTTGGTTTTAAAAGAAAAGCTCTTTTCTCTTTATTTTCATGTGACAGACCGTAAGAGCTCATGGTATGTTCTGGAAGAGTTGACCGGCCTTCAAAACTTCCCAAATTCAAATATAAAACGTTAAAATTTAGGACTAGTTTGGTGTAGCGACGATCTCTGGATTGGGTGTGGTGGTGTGTGGACCATGGTTAAGGGGAGTAAAAGAAATGTCTACAGAGAAAAAAAAATAGAATATAATAAAACATAGTTATTCCGATTTCTCTAATGGCAAGCAGCCAGCTAAGGAACAACGAAAGTAAAATAATGATAATAACATTAAAAAATAATACTAAAAAGAAAACATTGTGGTGTAGATGCACTGGTGAAGGATGTGGTCTCTCCGCAGAACAAGTCTTGGGACTTCAGGCAGGACTTCTGGGTTGAAAAGGAGAAGTTTGGCTCAACTTGAAAGTTCGACCTTTAAAGATGTTCACAGTGTAAAGGGCCCACTGATCGTTTGTAGACGGTGGTCGATGTTGCAAAGATGCATTCCTAGCCAAGGATGAACATGACATATTAATTATTTAATTTGTTATCGGTTTATTATTCTTATTTATTATTTCCAATTTTTTATGCATGGCTGGTCTCAAGACGAAGATCTTGGTTCCAATCCCGCTCGTGATACTAATTTTTCTTCTCAACCATCTTTGCATATAAAATTACAACTTCCGGTATTACTAAGTTTTACATTAGAAAAAACAAAGATGTTATCGAAAGCTTACAAATGAGTCCTAGTGGAAACTTTCCTTCCGCGCCTAAAGGGAAATCACCATACGTCAAATAACCGAGGGTCCCACTCTTTCTCAGGGGGATGAAACTCTTCCGGCCGCGGGGGCGGTAAATCTTAAACATCCTCCGGGTTTCGGAGAAGGCCATTGTGTGTCATTCCCCGAAGAGGGGTGCGGGGGTGGTTCCGCGCGGTGGCGCACGCGTCACTTGCCGACTATAAGACCCGCCGACGACCGTCTCGACAACCCAGTCTACAGTTCAACCGTTAACGTTTGCGGTCTAAACAAACGGTAAGTGAAAAAATTGATAAAATTGTTGCGATTTTTTTTACAGGTGCTTTAAATTTGATCAATTTTGTGAGTTTTTAAAATATTTTTTATTTATAAAAAATATAAAATAAATAAATGCATATTAACTTTTAATTATAAAATATCAAAAATTGCCTAAAAACAAATCATTTATATTATATTCATTACAAGTTTACGTTTTTCGAAAAACAAAAATAACAAAGCTGCATGCAACTAAAAAAAAATCAAAATTTTTTGCCCTAAATATCTGTTTAATCCAGCTGGTAAGATTAAAATAACACAACAAAATATTTTTTAAATATTATTTAAGGCTCTATATTATTTTTGTTCAACATATACATGAAAGAAAAATTTACCTTAAAATGTAAAAATAGCCAGCTCGTTGAATTTAAAATATCAAAACCTCCGTTTGATTTTTGATGATTTTTTCTGTTAATCTTATAGTGTAATGTGACGACGGGTTTTGTATGTGTAATTTTTTACGAGTAATCCAATCAAGGTTTTGATATGACGTCAACGTAATCCGCAGATTATCCTATTCCTATTTTTCGTTGTTTTGTTTTCTTAAATGGATGATTTGTAAGGGCTTCTCATTTCGACTAGAAAGTTACCAATTCACCAAAATTGGTAGATTAATTTATGACTTATTAAAACATGAATTCCTTTATTACATATTACATTATTATTTATATTATTATTACATATATGTATAGGTTTAATATAAACTGCTCATTTTCATTCCGTTTCAAAACTCCAACAAAAAATATTACCAAAAGTATTGTGTTACACTTTAAACTGCTTCTGTACTGGAATGACTTGAAATTTTATTATGTTTTTTTAATTAGATTTTTATTTTTTTTTAAACCAGCATATTTCAACTACGAGGTTATATGAACCACTCGAGGTACTGCTGTTTTTGATAAAAGTCCATTATAACTTTGTTTAGTTTACATTACACCTTGCGAATGAGTAAATTCTTGTTTGTTTTAACAAAAATCGATCGTTGTCATAATCAGTTTTAGTTGTCAATTCCCAAACTCTATGATTCGGGAAGTAAACTTATTCAAAATCGTTGCGTTCTGATCTAAAAGTCCGACAGGGTTACTGTACACAACTGGCATTTTCACTTCGAATTTCACCTCCATTCCATGGATTCAATCAAATGTCAAAAAGTTTGGATTAGTGAGATTTGCTTTTATTGTGACAAAGTTTGATAGGGTTTTTTATAAATTGCTGATACAGAATTATATCTAGACCTTGCTGGAATGACTTGATTCCGTTTCGTACGTTTAATGATGTGTAGTTTTCAAAATTAATTTCATTATAACCTGTTGATTTGTATTCATGTTGTAGCGAATAATGCTAAAATAAAATCTTTGATTTTGATGGTAACTTTATGGAAAAAAAGTAGTATTTAAACCTTAATGTTTATGCTGTTGTGTAAAGAACCGACAGAAGCTGGTTTTTCCACTCCAAATCAACCACAAATCCATGGATGAACAAAATGTTAACTAACTTAGAGTGGGTAGTAATTTACTGAATATAATATTACTATTGAATATGTATGTGCTAATATGAGATTAATGGATGATATATGCCTTCCTAATAAACTGCTTATGAATTACCATGTCTCAGACTTGCTCGATTGACTAACAATTTTTTCATAACTTTGATTTTCCCCATATCTATTATGTATTAACGATACTATGAATTTCTGATTTATGAATAATCCAAATCTTTCATTTATATAGTGAATTATTTATTAAATTTTAAAAAAATTAAGCATTTTTTTCTAAAGCTGATAAGGTTATTGTAATCTGCTGAAGAAATTTATGTTTAAATGCAACTTTTTGGAATGACTGATAAATTTTTTAACTAATGTTTATAGATTTTAATGTATCAGTAAATTCATGAGTAAAAATTAATTTAATTGGTACTTTTTGGATAATAATTTTTTTTTAAAACTGTCCACAAATCTTATTTTTCTTATTTTATTTATAATGAATTGAAATAATAGTGAGAATACTCGCAATCAAAACCAGTTTTTTTTTTATTACGATTATGGTACCTTGACGTAAATTGTGGTATCAGTTGAACTGTAAATCGACGAATTTTTCATGGAAACCCAGTGTAATTAAAAAACTGTACAAATTTCAAAATTAACAAATAAAACCGGTATAAACAAATAGTTATTATCGCGTGATATGAGGGTGAAACGCTCAAAGAATTTAACACTTCTAAATTTTTTTTTTTTTTTGGTGGGGGGGGAGTTACGCTGGCATATTACCCATGAAGTTTCTATTTTCATTTTACTGTGATTGGCTGACTAGGGCCAGATCCCCGCCGCGCGCCCGCACCACTCATTCAGCTCCATCATCTTCTCATCTAAATTTTCATGGTCGAAGATAATCAAAAAGAAACGTTTATCGACATTAGAAATCCATAGATTATGTTGAAAGCTGGTGGATTGTTGCTTATTAGGACAGATTCTAAGTTTATTGGTTTGGAAATGTTTGGGACTTTGCTCAGATTTTTTAACAGTTTGTCTCTTTCATTTTCATATTCTGGACATTCAAAATTATGTGGGAAGGATTTGAAGGGCAATCGCAAGTGGGACAGTTCGGAGACGATGCCAAACCGATTCTCTTCTTGTAGCTACCCCATAGGCCATGATTTGTCTTCAGTCCAAAAATAGAAGAATAGAACTCCTTTGACATTCCTTCTGGGCTATCGCCTTCCGAAACCCATGGTTTTTTCTTGAGCTCAGGGAACAGTGACCTGTAATAATTGCCAACATTTGATGCGTTGTATTTTTCTTGCCACAGATTTCTACAAAACTTTTCCTAAAAGTTTTTCCCGTCATCTTTAGGAATTTTAATGTCAAGGGTTGGACCTGATGTTGCAGCCTCCTTTGCAAGTGCGTCCACCGTTTCATTTTGCCATAAGCCTGCATATTTGTTATTTACATTTATTAATGTTGTATTGAGTAAATATTTTTTGTATAAGTTGCTTCTATGTATGTAGGAGAAGTTGCCCAGTGACAATGCTCCTTCACACTCCGTCATTCTTCATTCACTGAGAAGGCCTTAGGGCCACTTTAGCTTTAATAGTTGTAAAGGATTTTCTGATAAGGATGGAAGCGATAACTGTCGTAGGTTATTGTGGATGTGCAATTTTTTATAGAGGGATTGGATAACGTCATGTACATAGCGGGGGATTGTAGGTCGTTAGGAATAGTATGAAACATAAAAAGGAGCACTTATAATTTGACGACAATTTTTCGACTAAATAGATTGGAGACGTTAGTTATTGGGATCCCTCGTTGAGCCCCACCTTGACAACCTTCATTGTCTTGTAAATTGAAAGTTTGTTTTCATTATCTTGTTTTGATCGAAAGTCAATTAGTCTTTTTAATAATTTACAACGTCGGTGGTCTTTTCAGCTTTGTCTGAGGGTACCAAGTCCAATGGTCCATTTATCCATGAAAATAGCAAAATAACACAAGGTCGGTGGAGTTCCATTTATAATAACTAAGGGATAGATACTTTTAGGCAGGGTAAAGTATATGCTTTTCGTTAGGTTTATTTTCATTTTCCACTTTGTAGAGACAATGAATTGTCCAGTGAAATGAGTTGAATCTAAATGATGATCTGCAATAATTTTAGATTTTTTAACTCTGGGCCATAATCTTTGGAGAACGCGTTAGGGGACGATAGGAACTAAGAAGATCAGAAGGTTTATTTGGATTATGAATCATTCATTCATTGTTATAAGTGTTGAGTGTTTTATGGAGGGGTTCGAATTACGTGTCATCAGCGAATGTATGTATTGAAATGTGAATATTGTAAAACCATGTAGATGTTGAATTGTCCAGTGAAATGAGTTGAATCTAAATGATGATCTGCAATAATTTTAGATTTTTTAACTCTGGGCCATAATCTTTGGAGAACGCGTTAGGGGACGATAGGAACTAAGAAGATCAGAAGGTTTATTTGGATTATGAATCATTTTAACTAATGAGAACTTTCATGGAAAATATATGGACCTGAGTATATCGTTCTATAGGTTTGAAAAATAAAGCACTTTGTGGGGAAAATTCTGTAAATTTTTTGTTGTAATTAAATAATATCCTGGAGCTTTTCGAAGAGATAGTTGTTTCATTGTGTCGTATGTCTGACTAAATGCTTTAGGAGGAGGAGAGAGCTGCGAGGTCATTGAGGTCAAGTATATAGTCATATATCTTGATGTGGAGCGAATATTGTTGAAAGTTGCACTATATACAATTTAGCAATAATCAGTTTAGTCGAAATTGGGTATGGCCAAAGAGTTATCAATACAGGTCCTTATATCGCAGGATCTTACAGGTACAGTATGTATATGTATCTGCTTTGGTATGCGAAATAGTGTATTGTTTGTACTTTTCAGCCCTAAGTTTGGCACTATGGTTGAAGTTTTCTCGTTAGTTAACGGTGTTTCCGGGGATGCATGAAAATCTTTATATGTTATGGGTTTATGTTTTTCTTGTTTTATTAATAAAAATTTAACAACATCAGGTACCTTGGAAAGGTTTGCAAGCTAAGAAAACAGAAGACAGAATTTGTGAGAATCAGTGACATAGATTGCGAAAAAAGAATAATTTTTCGTTTAACGCATGTCTAGAATAATTCATGCACCTAACCTTGAAGAAAATAGAAATTTAATTTTTTCACGAAGGCATTTTAAACAACCACGAGTTTATATGAACCCCGGGGTGTCGATATTTTTGAAAAAAAGTCCATTTGTAAGTGTGTCGGGTTCGAATGCAGGGCGGCTGGATTGGAACCCGGGACCTTTACCTTACAATGATGAGGGCCGTGTCAACGCCTAAACCATTACGGGCACCGACCCCCCCCCCCCTTTGGTTGTGTTTATAATTTTAGCTTAGTTGTAGGGGTGAGTTCTCAGCATTTTCCTTAAATATAAATATAGATTCATCAACTTTA